AAACGCTGAATTTTATATGACGCTTCTCTCAGTAATTATACCTCGTTCCATTTGTAATTTCCTTAGGTAGCCGGTATTTTATTTAACTACCTTTTAATAGTCGACGACTCGTCCAAGTTAAAGTTCCTGTGATACTCACTAAAATTCACTCGCGCACTGAACTTCCTTTTAACTACGGAATAATTAAAATACTTCAATTAGATGAATTCTTACCTCCCCTGTCAGATTTCTTTACCCCCGTTCTTTACTCTTTTCGCCTCTTGCTGCGCGCTGCTTTATATTAAAGCTGACGTAGCAAATATTAATCAATCGAGACCGATGTCTCTCACTTTTGTCTCAAGCGAACTTGATGAAGCGTGGATTGTATGGGTAAAGGCGCGCGATCAAAAATGCATCTAATCTACGATGGTATTTTAACTTGAGACAACCGGTGTGTTTAATTCGGTGTTTACCGGATCGATGAGCGAAGCATTGGATTACCTCAGCCGCACAACCGGCATCATTACTTTGGGTACCACTTGCGCGAAGTTAGTGACGCACGCGTATATTGCGAACAAATTCAAGCATAATATCCTGGAAAGCGCTCGTAACTCTATCTCGTCAGCTTCTACGTACGAGGATATCTCGTCCGCGGTTCCTACCGCATGACATCGCAAGTTGCCTTTGCTGTCCTTGGTTTGACAGGTGTTTAATATTACTTGGAAGTTTTGATCTCTACGTGTTACGATATCCGTGCTCGTAACGCATTGACCCGCTCGAATATACAGAATGATGCACCAACATATGGCCTATTACGACGGGTTGCCTGCCCAAATGCGCGAACGTTCAGATGATAATTTCGGATTTGTCGATATAATCATACCTTTCCAACGAAGTTATAGCATTCCTAATTATCATCCTAATTATCATAATAAAAAAAAAGATATGCGAGTAACCATATCAACAAATCGGAAATTGCCATCTGGACGTGCGCGCTCTGGGGCAGGCAACCCGTCGTATAATGGATCATATGTTCATGCAACACCCTGTACATTAGAATAAACTAAATGGTTACTCGAATATCAAGAGTTCGACGAACAAGCGCGGATTCTCCAAAATGGATAATAGTCAGTGGATCCTTCGTAATGCAAGATGAATATTTCAAGATTTCGTTCCGATAAAGGAAATCCTTTTACCACGCATTATTTCACGTGATTATCAATTCGATACTAATCCAATCAATCAAAGTCAAAATACAGCTCATCGATCTGTGTAAAGTTCATCATTTTGAAATTAATTTTATAATTCGCGCGATTGCTGATAGCAACTTGTGAACCTACCTTCACTAGCGACCATAGGAAATCAATAGTGTGCGATTGATTTGTAAGAAGTCAAACGCGAGAGGATATTAATTGCTGCCTGATTTGACGATCGATACCCGTTTTAACGAATGCTGCATCGGTGGCTATGCTCGTGCTAAGCGAGGAAAACGAACGGCTGGAGATGACGAATGAGGGGTGCGAGAAGCAAAGCTCGTGTCGGAAGATTTTTCAGACGAAATCATATTGCCCACGACTCGATGGTTGCTTTTTCAGGAGAGAGGAAATAACTGACGTCACACTCAGTACGTAACAGCAATCTTCGAGGATAACCCGTGTGTAGATGCCACGACTGAGATGTAAACGCCTTTTCCCACTCATCGAAAAGCGTTTGTCGCTCCCTGCGCTTCCTATCCCCCTCTCCCCCCGCGGAATATACATTTCAGAGAACAACGAGGCGTCACAAGCGGATTTTATTGACGTCCACTTGAATTCTTCCCTGGCGTCATAATGCGAAATGTCGGGTTCTCGAGTCACTCGTATCGTGGACTTGTTCGTCGCACTTCCGACAGCTACTATATCCAAGCAGTTTCATAATGTTACATAACAGAAACTGGAGGAAAACGCCATAAATACTTGTACACATCGCGGTCGCGCGGCCGTTCTGGATAACTCGAATTAATAAAAAGTGTGTCAATCCGAGAACATTTGCATCGCGAGGAATACGATTTGTTGCCAATGAGAACGCGTTGAAGCGCAGCTCTCCCAATATTAAAGAATTGTTCGTCATTGTCAGCGACTAGTTTCACCGTAAGAATATATACAAAACTTACGAATTGAAATTCTTCTGAACGACGGTTATACAATTCGCAGGTTACTATAAAACGCGGTCTTTCTCGAAATAATTCAATAATACTAACTTAGGCCGATATTTATAGTCGGATTTTATATTTAAGATTATCTTAAATTCATCTTCAAATGTTATAAGGTTCATTCTATTGTCTATGTAGCATCTAAAGATGAATTTAAAACGGTCTTATGTATAAAATCCGACTATGAATACCGGCCTTAGATTCGCATCAAATTTACGGAACGATAGAGTCATCTACTTAATAAACAACAAGTAGATGATTTCAAATTATCGTATACATTATAATATTTTTCAAGAAATATAATTATTTAAAAAAAATTTTAAAGATGAATTTCAAATTATAACAAGGGACCCGGACCGGACCGGAAGCAAGACCAAAAACCGTATGGAAACCGGTATTTTGTCGGTCCGAAACTGTAAACCGCACCGAAATTTTATAGAGCCTACAGAACCGGAACCAAAATTGGAACTGTTACATTTTTTTGGTTTGCGGTTCTTTTCGGTTCACTATTTCGGTTCACTAGTTCTTATTCTATGATTTTAAATAGTCGTTTTTTATTTCATAATAAAATTCTAGTTCTCACGAAAAAGCAGAACGTTGATTAGTTATCACGATAAATAGAAAATAAAATGCTTCAAGCATACGATATTGGACAGAAGAGGATTAATAGGAGAAATAACACGTTACAATTTTGGGATAATTGGAAAGACAATTATTCTGAATTGTACAAATTACTCTAACGGACCGTGTTCTGTTTATATTATGAGAAAGTTCGGAAAATATCGCGATATTTTCCGAATATTCTCAGAATCTATATAATTTACATATTTCGTTAGGAAGAGGTTACAAAGAACGAGGATAATATTATATATCCAAAAAAGTTAAGAGCAGAAGATGGAAATAGTGAAGAAATGCTATCTATATTGAGGAAGTGATATTATTATTTTTTATAATATATTATTGTATATATAGTAGAAATGTTTTTTTGGCATGGCATTCATAAACTGCCGGAGAGGTGGGAAAAATGTATAAATAGCAATGGACGTTATTTTGAATAAAATATTTTTTATCATTTTCAAACAACAGACGTGTAATTTTTACAAAACAATTCCGGTTTCATACTTCTACACCTGGTATATATATAATTTAAGTCAATAAAAATTTCAGTAAGGAAACAAATTTAAAGAACCGGAACCGAAAAAAACATAAAACGGTTTACCGGTATTTTCAGTAGTCCAGAAAACTGAAACCGAAACCGGAACCGGACCGATATTTTCATTCGGTTCGGGTCCCTGATTATAACATACAAAATATAGCGCGTAATTTTCTATCAATACACATACAAAAAACAAATAACACACCGTAATATATCTATGGAAAATTAATATAGACATTGTCTCAACAATAAATATTTTTTGATTAAATACAAAACCGATATTTAGGTATATAAAAAATTCGTACTTCAATATCCGGCCGATATGACAAGCAAAAAGCAAAAAAGCACCGTACATGACTCCGCATTCGAAAATACGATTTCCTACCGTGATCTGCCTACATAAATAATAGTTGGAATTGTGAAACTTCTCAAATTATAAGTCCGTTGTATACGGTGGCATTTCGGAGCAACTGGCGGTTAATGCGCAATTTATTAAGATGTATGGTCTTAGTCTTGGCCGATATAGAAAGAAGAGATGGCGAAACACGAGCAGTCGGGGGAAACTTATCACCGCTTGTTACCGAAAACAGCGTGTTTTTAAACGAGGCGATTTATGATACTGATATATTTATGAGACTGTCCAACTCGTCCATTTTAACGATTTTATATTTAGCGTAATGATATTTATCGGAAAGAGCCAACGATTACATTAATCACGATGGCATGGCTGCTGGTTCGTTCGCATAAAATACATTGTGAATTAAAAATAGATATTAATAATAAAAATACGCGAATATATCTTGTTACATTCCCGATTCACACACGAATTTCCTGTTAGCGACGCTTTTTGTACAAGTATAAAATACGAGATGAATATTAATGTGTCTAAAAATATTAAGAAAGTTACTTTAATTTTATTTTGACTCGCGGATAAGATCAATGTAAATTATTATTTGATCTATAAGTCAAAAAGATTCAATGTTCAGAATGAAAGATTTATGCTCTGTGTAAAAATCCAAGTAGAAATCGTATACTTTTACAGCCAGTGAAGATCAGTGGAGACCAATTACAGTACTGAAACACAGATTTCACATTACGATACTAATGCTTTAAATAGGAAACCGGAAGATGTCACTAACGTGGTGTCTAAATAGTTCAGTGGTAAAAGTGTTTGCCTAGTAAGCGGAGGAAGATTCGAATTTGATCCCAATCGGGTCTGCTCCGCTCCGACATTTTCCATTTCATATGACATTAAAAGTGGATATTTGCAGGTATGTAAATAAGCACTCTGTGGCCATGGAATCAGTATTGTTCCAGTATCGGGAATCAATAATTTTTTGCAATACAGGAAATCGGTAGTTATAGTACTGTCTTTTAAGTCTTAACCCACTGCTATCCCTGCGTCCCAATATTTCACCGATAACAAATCGGTTTTGATAATCTATATTTCACATAATCATCATTAAAAATCAATACTAAACCAATACTTCACCGGCAGTTATTTCCTATTTTGGAATGCATTCTATGCGCGTTTAAAACAATACGTTGCAAATAATTTCTTCGAGATATGCACATTGTAAATACCATGCTTATCTAGGAAATAGTACGCTTATCTACAAAATATAAGTGCATTTTACGTTTCTAACGAAACAGTTTACTGAAAGTGTTGGAAAAATGTGGACTAAAATGGATATATTCTTAGTGATCGCGTTATTGTACGTAATAGTACAATATAATGTGATTCATGCGAAAAGGATATTGTTTATAGCGAGCATACCATCATACAGCCATCAAATAAGTTATCGTAACATATATTTGGAGTTGAATAAACGAGGCCATGAAATCGTGTTGTTTACTACAGATCCGGTCAGAAATTCTTCTTTAACAAATTACACGGAAGTCGACTTGAGTAACTTTTATGTTTTGCCTGAATATAAAACACTGTCGTATAGAAGTCTGACAGAAGCAAGCATGAATTCATCGTTTCTTGATGTGGAACATTTTGCATGGGATATAGGTTTCATCACAAGTAACGCGGTTTTCAAACATCCAGAGATTAAGAAGTTATATGCAGCTGATAGTAATGAACACTTCGACGCGGTTATTATAGCGCAAGGCCATACTGCAGCATTGAATGCTTTTGCGTACAGATTTAAAGCTCCTCTCATAGGTAAGATAAACGTTAGATAAATTTAAATTCGAAAAAAGTCGAATTATGATACGTACATGCGATTAGCCTTAAATGTTATTATTAGATTAGTGTTATTATTATTAGATTTGAATAAATTATTGGGAGTGTGAATAAGTTCTCGCCGTTTCACCATCAGATGGCGGTATAAAAATTTTCTGTGTATAATTCAAGATGATGACGCATCTATATTGAAGTTTTATAACCTATGTTTAAAATCAGGGGGTGTCTTTCCATTAACCTATAAAGAACATTTTCTTTTTGTAGCGTAAAACATATCAAATTTCGTGCCAAATAAACCGTTTTTGCGGGGAATTTTACTACACTATTTTATTCAGAAGAAATCTGCAGCTGAAGCACACAGAAATCTTGTAGAAACCTATGGTGATCATGCTCTGTCGGAAAGAACATGCAGAGATTGGTTTAACCAATTTAAAAATGGTGATTTTGATGTTCAAGATAGAGAACGCAGTGGTGCACCAAAAAAGTTTCAAGACGAAGAATTGAAAACATTACTTGCTGAAAATCCATGTCAGACGCAATCCGATGTTGCAAAATCATTAGGAGTTGATCGAACAACAGTTTCGAAACATCTAACAACATTAGGAATGATACAAAAGGAAGGATCTTGGGTGCCGTACGAATTGAAGCCGAGAGACGTCGAACGGCGTCTTGTCACGTGTGAACAGCTGCTTCAACGACAAAAAAGGGAAGGTTTCATACATCGTATTGTGACTGGTGATGAAAAGTGGATATACTACAGTAATCCCAAGCGTAAAAAATCGTGGGTTAAGCCTGGCGAAGCAGTAGCATCAACGCCAAAGCGGAATATCCACGGTTCCAAGCTCATGCTGTGCATTTGGTGGGATCAGCTGGGGGTAGTGTATTACGAGCTGCTCCAACCCAACGAAACCATCACAGGAGATCTCTATCGACGACAATTGATGCGTTTGAGCCGAGCATTGAAAGAAAAACGACCGCAATATGAACAAAGACACGATAAGGTGATTTTGCTGCATGATAACGTTCGGCCGCATGTCGCGTCACCGGTCAAAACATACCTGGAAACGCTGAAATGGGAAGTCCTACCTCACCCGCCGTATTCTCCAGACATTGCGCCTTCTGATTACTATTTATTTCAATCGATGACTAACCTGGCTGGCAGCACTTCACTTTGCATAAAGAAACGAAAAAATGGATCGATTCGTGGATAGCCGCAAAAGAAATGTCGTATTTTCGACGTGGAATTCTAATGCTGCCAGAAAGATGGGAAAAAGTAGTCTCCAGCGATGGGCAATACTTTAATTGACTTGTTTTTTTATTATTTTTTTAAAATAAAGGATTTATTTTCACAAAAAACGGCGAGAACTTATTCACACTCCCAATACGAGCACTTAACAACCACCTTCTTATTGTCTCGTGTTGTCGAATTCTTTCTTTTTATAAGTTAATTTAATTTTAATTTAACTTAACTTTTAATTAGTCAATTTTTGTATAGGTTTTAACTTTTAACTTAACTAAATTAATTGTATAGACCATTAATTTCTAACTTAACTTAAAAAAAGAAGTTAATTTACCCAACTTTGGTTATTACTGCTCATTTTATCTGTATTACCGATAAGATAACGAAAATTAATGTGATCTACAGGTGTTTCGAGTCTAGATGTGTTCAATCAATACCGCTATATGCTCGGAGGTCTGATTCTACCTTCACACCTTTCCAATTGGCAAAGCAACATACAAATCCATGGCAACATATCATTCTGGGAAAGACTCGTCAACTTTTATGACGTGTGGATGCAAATGTATCATTGGGCAAATGTGCGCATTCCCTCGGACGATGCGCTTGTGAAGAAGTATTTAGGGGAGGGCATACCGTCCGTCCTAGACATAACTCAGAATATGAGCTTGTACTTCATCAATAAGAATCCGATAATTTCGTATCCCAGACAGGAACAATCAAACATCATGTTTTATCACGGTTTTCATATCGCAGCGGTACCACCCGCCTTGCCAAAAGTATGCGTTTCTTTTAGGATCAGCTTTCATATGAGATTCAATAGAGCGGCCGTTACGCAAATTTCTAATGATATATCTGTAACATTAGTCCCATTGCATTCGCTAGGAATTGAAACAACTTCTCGACAATGCGACTGAGGGATTCATTTACGTCAGTTTGGGGACCAACGTCAGATGGGATCATCTACCGAAAAACACGCTCGAAACCTTCACCGAAGCGTTCACCTCGCTACCATGGAAGATCCTGTGGAAGAATAATCCTGATCTAATACCCAACAAATTTGAAAACATATTCGTGTCGAAATGGTTTCCTCAGCAAAGTATTCTCGGTAGTGACACGCAAATGTGTGCACGGGTCACTTGGCCTGGCGCTCGGCACCCCCGCACTTTGTAACTTCTTATCACTATTAATTCGTTCTGTAAGTGTAACCTTGTGCTCATTTTCTTATCCACAGCTCACTCGAATATCAAACTGTTTATTTACCAAGGCGGAGTACAGAGCACCGAAGAGGCCGTTTATCACGGAGTTCCGGTTATAGGGTATCCGATTATTTGGGATCAGAAGTATCAAGTGCAAAATGTCATGAGATTAGGTATGGGCGCGCACCTCGATTATAAGAATCTTTCGAAAGAAAACATAGTAACCACTGTGTATGAAGTCATAAACAACAAGAGGTACTGTGTTATTTTACTTGTAAATTACATTTTTATGATAAACTTATATTTACGATCAACTTTTTCTGTCTTATCGCGGTAATACATAATAGGGATTTCTGAATAATATTCCGAGAACTTATTAAATAAATTAAATAAATTTAAAGTGTTATGTAAAAATAAATTAACATCTAGAAATTATCATTAAAATTTAGAATGTTTGCTTTTATTGCATCTCGATTGACAATCACGTATCGATGTGAATGTGGTATTTTTATTTTCACGTTGGCGAAAGAATGCGTCTACTATTTTCTTTTTTTATTTTACTTTTCCTCATTCGGAGACTAGAAACAAGTCAACTATGAAATGTCTCTCGTAGAGATTCGACTTCAAATCAGTTTTCTTAAAATATGTAAAGAACATAATGTCGAAACTCCACATTTGAATATGTTCTATAATCCCAACTTGCATATACGTAACATTCATTCGGCGAATATAATACGTAATAAAGGGCTCACGTTCAGCATTGGACTATTTCGATCTGAAATTCAAGATGGTTATAGATATAAAAAGTTTCTCCCAACGCGCATTAATAGATTATCATCATCACTTAATAAATATTTGTTTAATGCGATTTGGCTATTGCTTTGGTTATTGCTTTATCCAATACTAATGCAATTATATTATGCCGAGAGTAAGAGACTTCGTTTTAAATTTTATAATCCACCGAAGACCAGCAAATAAAGGATACTTATAATGTGCTTCCGATCAAATATTTTTGCCTGCTTAAACATATGGCTAATAATAGATGGATGCCACGAAGAATGTTTCATTGAATATAAAAAAGGTTACAAAAATAAAATTCTTCAGAGAGCCTCTTCCTCACAACCATTCCGAGAATATGTGAATGAATGAATATGTTATTAACATATCTCTTTACGTTTATGCGAATATGAACGGTAATGATGTTTTGTCACCGAAAAACACATAGTTCGTCACCTCACCTTCACGCAGATTCCCCCTATTGTTCAAAATAATTTACGACTAGATGAAGGCTTTTGCCGTCTACTTGTCAAGAATGAATCGATCTTGATCGATTTGATTACAGATATTAGAATATCTATAATGCTAGTAATATCATTATAGATATTATTTTAATAAGTAATAGGTTCATTTTAAACTGAATGTTTTTTATGTTCAATAATAAATTTTGCAGACAAACATTCGGCAACCCAATAAGTTCTTATTATTTTCCAATTACCGCCAATATTGTTCTTCCAGATATTGAAGAAATAGCTTTAAAAAGATTACTGCTACCAATACCATTTTATTTTAAATATGTTGATGATGTTCTTGCAGCTGCTTTAGAGTTCTTGCAGCTGCTTTAGAGTTTTGTGATGAAATACTCAATATTTTTAACTTGTTCCATAGAAAATTTCAATTCACGTACGAAATCGGCGATAATAATAGACTTAATTTTTAGACAACAATTTGCCTAAATAATGGAAAAATCGAATTTGATTAGTTTCATAAACCCACGTTCCCAGGACGCTATTTAAATATTGCTTTTTTACATCCATTAGGACAAAAATCGGAACTATTTATAGTTTCATCGACAGAGCCTTTTTACTATTGCACTTGAAACATTACTCTGCAAAAATCTGGAATTAATTATTGACGTTTTTCTTAATAATAGCTATCCTTTGGGTCTAATTTTTAAAATAATCGTCGAATTTCATCCTTGTTAACGGACTCAGATTGTGATTTGTGATTGTGATTAAAACATTATTACCAAAAAATTACTAACAGTAATAGGGATACAGTTTCTTACTTCACCATCCCGTTTGTTGAATCTCTGTCTGATAAATTAAAACATATCATGCACAACGATAATCTCAGACTTGTATATAGAGGCCTCAATAAACTTGATTGTTTTATTAAAGTTCCGAAAGATAAGTTCAATAACATCTAAACCATTATAATGTCATTTTAACTATAGAAATCGAATCAACTGCAGGAATTGCGACGTCTCTTATGTAGAATAAATTCGCCAACAATTTAAAACTAGATTTTCTGAGCATCATAGAATTGTCACTAATATAAGCTCTGTCAGAATTGTGGTTAATGGCCATCGACTATAACAACTATAACCATCATTTCGATTGACCTAATGCAAAGATTTAAAAAAAAGAATTGGCATATTTTAAGCGCTTGATTATCGAACTGATTTTTATTAAAAAACCAAGTAACAGTTTGAACGCACAGACTGATACAGAGCTGCTTAGTAATAGTTATTATCTATTCTTAAGCGCTTTAATTCATCTTAAATATTATGCGCATACCGTTCATCGTCATTCGCTCTTTCCGCGTTATATCTTTCGCTCTTTGTAATAACTCACGGCTGATCATGCTTCTACCGTATGGTCAAACAACGATTATTACTTACCGTTTCGCTAGCAACCACGTCAGTGTTGTCTCGCTTATCTACATCATGCCTACTGTTTGAGCTTATACCACCCGCTCTTTTTTTATCTTTTGGGTTCTTGTTCTCACTTCACTTTTCTTGCGCTGATATGCATCTGTTTTATATTTTTATTTTTTTCTAAAATACTATTAATTTTTCAACCATTTCTTCATTCTTTATCTCCAAAGACTATTTCTTGCAAGTGTTGCTTCGTAGTTTTTTTACCCTTGCAGATCGTCTCGTCGTACCATCGATATTTAACCCTTTCGTTACGGCAGTCCGCGCCGCTGGAGTGACGCCATTGAACGGGGCACCGCGCCGCGAAGTGTGCATATTGCACGTCGGTAGTCTTCGATGTTCGCACTTACGTCTTTCAACACCACTTTGGAATTCTCTTGTATATATATTATTTTAAGAGCTAGGTAACAACTTTTTCGTCGTATTATATGAAAAACATGAAAATGAGTATATGAGTATTCAGTTATTTACATATTTGCACATTTTCGAGGTCGCGCGCGTATGCCGATTATAGTCGGCACCCGTAACGAAAGGGTTAATAACGAGAAATACATTTTGCCTACTATATTCTACAAGTTATAGTGGTGAGTAGTGCTTACTGAAGATAAGCCTCCACGTACTTCTGTTCTATTTATGAGGGTCGTTAATAAGTTTGATAAGTCTGGTAAATTTCTATGAGATGGCGCCACAATCCATATGACATGACATCTGGAAAGTTCCTCTCTTCAGATTCTCCCAGAGCAAATTTCAACACGGAATAACGCATTGTTCATGTTCGATAGTCGTTTAACGCGAGCGGATTAGCAGTGTAGCTACAAAAATGGAAAAAAAAACGATTTCCGTGTAATGATAAAATACTTTTATTTAAAGAAGTGGACAGCAGTGCAAATCATAGCCGAGTTAGACAAAGTTTATGGGGACTCTGCTCCTGCGTTGAAGATCTTATATTTCTGGATAAACGAATTGAAATGTGGCCGAACCTGCACTGAAGACGAAGTGTGTTCCGGACGCCCAGTTGAGGTCATCACATCGGATATCGTGGAAAAAAATCCATGCCATGGTTATGAAAGATCGTCGAGTGAAGATGCATGATATTGCTGAGGCCGTAGATATCTCGACGGAATGAACGCATAATATCCTGCATAAAGAATTGCATATGAAAAAGCTGTGTGCATAATGGATGCCGCGATTACTGACTCTCGATCAAAAACACACGCGAAAAGACGTTTCAACGTAGTGTTTGGTGATGTTCAAGCGCAATCCGCAGGATCTTTGGCGTCAATTCGTGACTGTGGACGAAACTTGGATTTACCACTACACTCCTGAATCAAAGGAGCAATCAGTGGACAATGCCTGGTGAAAGTGCAACGAAGAAAGCGAAGACTGTTTTGTCGGCTGGAAAGGTAATGGCAACTATTTGTTGGGATTCCCAAGGTATCATCTTAATTGACTATTTGTAAAAGGGTAAGACAATAACAGGAAAGTACTATGCAACATTATTGAACCATTTGAAAAAAAAGTTGAAAAATAAATGGCCAAAATTGACGCGCAAAAATTCCACCAAGACAATGCGTCATCTTACAAGTCGACCGTCGCAATGGCAAAATTACAAGAATTGGGTTTCGAATTGATTCTTCATCCACCCTATTCTCCGAATTTGGCCTCGTGTAATCTCTTTCTGTTCCCAAATTTAAAAATCTTGCTTGATGGGAAGACATTCTTGTCGAATGAGGAAGTCATCGTCGTCGTCAATGAGTATTTTGTAGGCTTTGAGACAGCCTACATTTCCGACGGTTTTTTTCAAAAATTAAGAACTCGCTGGATCAAGTATATCGCCTTCGATGGAGACTATGTTGAGAAGTAAAGGCGATTTTTCCCCAAAAAATGTGTTTTACTTGCTTTTTTACCAGACTTGTCAAACAACCTTTGTAATTAAATACAAAAAGGAGAGAGAATACGACTGCATTGTTAAAAGATTCACCTTTATGCTTTTCGATGCTGTTAGCCAAGCTTTTATTGTTTCTCAATACATGATGTATAATTGTGATTAATACTAGGTTATTATTATGACTTTATGTTTACTTTGTACGTACTATGACTTTCGTTTGAATAACCTTTTCTGACCCCGACTAAATCTATGTAATACTTATTACTTGTCCATCGATAAAGATCCAACATTTCCTTTCATTTCCTAAAAGACTATATATACGAGGGCAGTCCGATAAGTACTTAGCCTACAAAAGAAAAACGAAAATTTTGGAAAAATGGCGATTTATTTCTTAACATAGTCTCCATTTAGCTCGATACACTTGACCCAGCAATGCTCCAACTTCTTTAACCCATCTGAAAAATATGTTTTCTCGAAGTCCGCAAAGTAGGCCTCCGTGGCGGCGATGACCTCCTCATTCGGCCAAATTGGTCGAATTGGACTACGAACTGCTGCCCCATCCACCGTATTATCTAGATTTGGCCCCGTGCGACTTTTTTTGTTTCCAAACTTGAAAAAGTCACTCGCTGGGCAGAAATTTGAGTCGAATGAGGAGGTCATCGCCGCCACGGAGGCCTTTGCAGACTTCGAGAAAACGTATTTTTCAGATGGGTTAAAGAAGTTGGAACATCGCTGGGTCAAGTGTATCGAGCTAAAAGGAGACTATGTTGAGAAATAAATCGTTACTTTTCCAAAATTTTCGTTTTTCTTTTGTAGGCTAAGTACTTTTCGGACTGCCCTCGTATATCGGTTAATTTCACTAAAACAACCGTTCATTGGCACTTATAGACTACTTCGCATAATTTATTATGTTTATTTTCAGATATCAAGAAAGAGCAAAAGAAGTAAGTAAACTTTACAAGGACATACCCTATGATACCCTTCAAAATGTGGTGTGGTGGATCGAGTACACGATGCGTCATAACGGAGTGACTTGGTTACAAGACAGGATTTGCGACAAGCCGTGGTATCAACGATACGACTGGGACATCATCGGGTTTCTCGCCATAGTCGCGTTTACAACGTTCTTTATTTTTTTGTACACGCTATTTCAGATTTTACATTTCATTTGCGAGCGTTATCGAATTCTCTACGATGACACAAAGTATTACCATACCAAATCGAAGACCCAATAATGTTTCTATATGTGACTATACTATGAATTTTGTTTGAATATCCCAACTAAATTTGAATATCCTAACTAAATCTATGCAATATTTATTACCTGTCAGTCGATAAAGATCCAACGAAGGATCGAAATATTTGGTAAATAAATACTACATATTCGTCCGTATGACACTTCCTTGAATTTCCTAAAGATTATATAGATTGGTTAACCGTATTAAATATTTATATATATATAGTGTGTTTGATGAAAGCTATCCTATCCGTCATATATTTATAGTTTAGGTCAATATGAACGAAAAAAACCCTCTACCATTTTGCAAACAACCACACAAAATGTTGAGTTATTAGTTATAGAAAATGGTCATTTACAGAGGCTTCTTTAATTAATAACTCAAACATTTGCCTAGTTATTTGCAAAATGGTAAAGAATATTTTTGTTCTGAATGGAACCTAATCTATAAATATATAAGCTGTTATATCTAGCGATAGACATTAGTATAATAAACTTTGCGATTTAAAAATATAATATTTCGTCAATTTATATATAGTAAACTTTGAATTTCGAACCTTAAACCTGTCGCTAAGAACAACAGTCGTCGTATACTTGTAGATTATGCCATTCTGAACAAAAAATTACTTTACCACGAATATACCGAAGATTCGGACATACCATATATATTACCATCATATTTTTCCAAACATTTTAATCTACTTAATGTACTGAAAGTTTCCAAAATTACGTCACTCAAATATAAAAAAAAATTGTAATTTAATTAAAATATTTTATGTGTCAACGAGTAACGATATTGCTGATAAAAGAATAAACGTTAGCCACGCAAAAGTTCCTTTACTTTTAAGAATTCTGCAGCGTTAAATTTTCCAAATAAAATGCAGAATATGCAGAATACATTTTGATTTCAATATAAAATATTGATATATATTGACAGAACAATATGCTTCATACATGCTTTACAAATGACTATATCACATGAATGTATGACATGTGAATATGCAAATATATAAATTATAACATTTTAAAAGCTTATTATACGTATGTGTGTATGTATGTATGTGTGTATGCATTTTACAACCTATATCTTACAGTATTTAAACTTTGAAATTTACCATAATATTTTTCAACATAAGAAATGTTTTCTAAGTACTTGTCTATGTATTTAATCGATCCATTATGGAAACCGATGCAAACGCGACTATTACACAAAGAAGAGTTTAATCCGTTGTCAATTATTTTTTCAACAATCATTTTTATGTTGTCTCACATTCTTCTCGTGCTATACTCAAAATTAAGTTCGAGTTTGTATTACTCAACTTATTGGGAGTACAAATTAGCTCGGTCCGTTTTTTGTGGTCAAAAATGCATTTATTTCAGAACAAAATGAATGAACAGATTAATCAAAGTACTGTCCATCGCTGGCTACTAATTTTTCCCACCTCTCAGGCAATTTTCGAATTCCATCTCGAAAAAATGTCTTGTCTTTTGAGGCGATCCAAGTTAAGAGCCAATTTTCAATTTCTGCGAAAGAAGTGAACCGGTGACCTGCCAAATCGTGCTGCATCCGTCGGAACAACCAGTAATCTGAAGGAGCAATGTCCGGCGAATACGGCGGGTGCGGTAAAATATCCCACTTGAGCGTTTCCAAATAATTTTTTTCGACTTTTACGACATGAGGCCGAGCGTTATCATGCTCGGCTATCATAAGACACCCAATTGCCTTGCTTGTGAATTATTCCCATGGATTTCAATCGTACGGAAACTGCTTGTTGCGTAACTCCCAATGATTCTGCAAGCTCCTCTTGCGTTTGACTCGTATCTTCATCGAGTAATGACTCCAATTCTTTGTCTTCGAATTTTTTTGGCTGTCCAGAGCGAGGCTTGTCTTCAACGCTGAAATCACCATTCTTGAAACGTCGAAACCATTCCATACATGATTTATCAGTTGGAGCATTGTCACTATAAACTTCTACAAGCATTCGATGCGCTTCAGCTGCACTTTTCTTCCAATTAAAGCAGAAAACTAAAACCTCCCGCAAATGTTGCTTAGTTAACACAAAATTTGACATGTTCAACACAGTAAAAAATAGGGGTTTTGTATGAAACTCAAAGCGATATAAACTGAATATTATTGACAGATGTCTAACCCCTCTGAAACCACCGAAATCAGCTGTCATGAAACATTTATAACAGCCAGAGCCATCTTTTGAAAATGGACCGAACTAATTTGTACTCCCAATATTACATTTCTACAACCGTTAACTGTTTAATTTTTGCAAATATGTCAATTTTATTATTGACTAATATGTTTATGATAAAAATTTACTTTTTAAATATATTGATCCACCTTTATGGAATAAAAAAGCAGCAACATTGTACTAATTGCCAAGTATAAGATACAGAAATTAATTTTTCTCTTCTAATAGGCGCGTAAACTTATAATTGAATATAAAATAAGTACACAAATACATATTTGTAATTTTTATGAAAGCAATATGTTATGATATACGAGGTCTGTTCAAAAGTATCGCGAATTTTGTGTTTTTTCAAAAATTATTTATTTATTCGTGAATATCTATTTTGCCTCCTTCAAAGTAATCCCCATCAGATATTATACACTTGTGCTAACGTTTTTTCCAATCCTCGAAGCACTTCAAAAAATCATTTTTTGTGATCTTGTTCAGCTCCTCCTTCGATGCCGTCTTTATCTCCTCAATCGTAGCGTAGCGTCGTCCTTTCATGTGCCTCTTCAGTTTCGGGAACAAGAAAAAGTCACAGGGGGCCAGGTCTGGGGAATACGGTGGCTGCGGCATCATTAGTGTGTTGTTTTTGGCCAAAAATTCGCGCACAAGCAACGATGTGTGAGCAGGGGCGTTGGTACGAATTTCGCGGCGACCCGTCTCATGCCCAAATCATTAGTAAAAATCGAATGGCACGAGCCAATCGATATGTTTAGGTCCTCAGCAACTTCTCTAACGGTGATTCGACGATTGGCCAATACTATTTTCTTCACTTCATCAATGTTTTCGTCTGTTGTTGACGTGCTCGGGCGTCCGGCACGCTCTTCGTCGTTCACATCTTCTCGGCCCTCTGAGAACATTTTGTACCACCGATAAACGTTGCTTCGGTCCAAGGTAGCTTCACCATATGCCACAGTCAACATTCGGAATGCGTCCGCGCACTTAATTTTGTTTTTCACACAAAATTTGATACAGATTCTTTGATCCATTTTTTGGAATAGGCAAAAATCGAAGACGAGCCAAAACACGTCCAAGCAAAACAGCTGTCAAAGATAAACTGAATATTCAAAATGGCCGAACTTGTCGGCATAAGTGAGGGACATGAGTACCAACATAACGCCACAAAAAAATCGAAAATCGAATATACGTAACCTGCGGAAATTCAAAATTCGCGATACTTTTTGAACAGACCTCGTATTTATATTCGTCTTATCGATTATCAATTGTCGGAGTAAACATTTTTATACCGATACTTTTGCATGTGAAAATGTTATTTATAACTCTATTTTTATTTTGCAGTCATAATACATACAGTACGAGTACGTTATCTAGTCTACGTTAATATTTATGTTAAAGTTAGAAGACGCATGACACCATGTTATGTTATGTTATGTTAATAATAATTAGAATATCTTCTAAACGTGTGATGTTATCATGTTGAACAATTGTTATTTCGAGCGTCCTAGAATACACATATATTCTTACACATATATTCTTAATATAACAGACTCTTTGCGACATTCTAAGACAAAAGTTTAAGTACGAGAGTCGAGGAAAGCCCTTATTTTTAGCAATATTTTAATTTTCAACATATCTTTGTAACTGAAATCTAAGGTAAACTTTCGTAAAAGTTCATTTAATATAGTGGTCAGCAAAAAATTTCTTGTGGACACAGCCTCGCCTTCGTACAGTCATCAAATGATTTCCCACCTGTTGTGCATGGCTCTGAACAAACCTGAACACGAGTTGGTGATGGTGACCTTGAATTCGATGAGAGATTTGACATTAACCCTTAAATGCACGATGTAGTTCTGCATCGTATGATTTTTTAGTTCATATCTCAATAAATAGCAACCCTATTTCAAATTTATTCAAATTATTTTATAAAAAAAATAAAAAATCATGCATTTAAGGGTTGAAAAATTATATAGAGATCGACATACCGAGTGTACTCAAGTGTTTACACAACAATTTTTATGACGAAATTAAACTACTGAATCTGTCGCCGTTCAAGTCGACCAAACGTTTGTTGAAATTGACAAACATAATTGACGGCCACATATTTAATAAGCCAGGATTCGTGAATCTTTACAAATACGATAACAACTAGAATTCTGACATCGTTATTGTAGAAGCAATAACAGACCCATCGCTATTCGCTATGGCGCACAGATTCAACGCACCCCTCATAGGTGAGATGATGTCCGTGAATAATGCGTACAAGATGTCTCTCGCAAGTGACGCATAGATATACGATCTAAAAGTGGAAAATGCAAGTCAAACGCTTCGAAAACACGAATAATCACAGCAAATTTCTTTCTGAGAGATATTCTGTATTTTATGTAAGAGCAAAGAAACAAGCATTTCTAACAACCGTTTGAAACACGTTTATGCTAATATTAATGTATCCAAATTGATATTAAGCAGAAGTCATGACTTTAGGCATAAATAAGTACCGCCGGTACCTTTTCGGCGGCCCTCTAACTTCGTCAGATTCCTCAAATTGGGAATTTCTGGTCGAGGAGAATCTACTCTTGATTTAGCAAAAGCAAGGAATTTCATTGATACGTGAAGACATCTTTATTTTTGGATGAACAAATATGCGGTTGCAGAGCAGAAAATCTTAGAAACATCTTAGAAACGACATACCGAATATTATCGAATTATATAATATAATAAAGAACTTAAGTATATTGTTGGTCAACAAAAATCCAGCATATGGATACATTAAACTTGAACAACCGAATGTGGTGTTCTTCAGCGGTTTCCACATAAATAAAACAACGCCTCCGTTTTTATCGAGAGCAGGTGAATTTTAAAATGATTATTATAACTTTTCGTATCGAATTAGGTTGTGTTCGGCAATTATATATTTTCTTCATTATCTCATAATAAACTCCATTATTT